GAATGGAGTAGAGTAGAGTAGAGTAGAGTAGAGTAGAATAGAATAGAATAGAATAGAATAGAATAGAATAGAATAGAATAGAATAGAATAGAATAGAATAGAATAGAATAGAATAGAATAGAATAGATGCACTGGGAACAGGCTCCCCTTGTTCCTCTGCCTCACTGCTGCCAGGCTCCGGAGGCTCCAGATTCAGCACCCCACTCCCAGATGGTCCTGGCCCCATCTCTGCATCGGATACAGGACCCTCGTCCAAGTCCTCCCCAGACTCCCGGACTGGTCCCCATTCTTCCCCACTGTCCAATTCTGCTGCTGTTTGCACCGGCTGCCAGCGAACTACAACACCGTCCTCAAGTTCTCTGTGTCCAACCTCAGCATCTTGCTAGCCACCATTGAGCAATCAGCATGTTAATGGATAATTTACAGCCAGAAAGTTGGCCTGGGATCCCTGCAGACTTATTTCTGGCACCTCTTCTGAAGCTCCTATAAAATCGAGACATGTCAGGTGAAACAAAATGGTTTTGACAGCAGATCAAACACATTTTACAGCAAGAAGTATTGGCGCTCTGCTTTAAGGCCATTAAGTAGAAGACACTTATGGTTCACTTGGACGGTTGTTGGTTTTCTTTTTCCTTTTCTTCTTAAATCACTGTTTGTCGAATTGTACCATTTTGAGATAATTGCATTTTTACTCTGGCTTTTACAATCCGAGGGCTTTGTAAAAACCAGAATGACAGGTGTTGAAAGATGAAGGCAGACCCGAGTCAGTGGAAAATCCTGCAAATAAAAATAAAAATCAATCCATCATGGAATTATACAGATGGGAGGGGAGTTTCAGCCATTGAAACCAATTCTTAGTTAAAGTACCCCGGACTTCTGCTTGAAAATACCCAATGAAAAGAAACGGAATAATTGGACAGCTCTTACACTAAGTCAGTATTTTTCAACCTTGGCAACTTTTAAGGAGTGTGGATGTCAGGATTCCAGTAATCGCTCTCATTAAATCATGATTCTGAAGCCAAACTTCAACACACTTCAAAGGATTCATTAGAGGCGACCTACCGGCCCTGCCCTGTATGAAGCCAACTCTTTGCCTACGTCATTTACAGTCCCCTGTGACCCTGTTTCCCCCCTCCCCCCGGGTGTGTCATAAATCAGATTCTCCAATTGACCACATTCCTGGGCTGGGTGTCATCAATCACATTCTCCAATTAAATAGATTCCTGGGCAAAAGCTCTGGTAGTTTAGTTACAATCTTTTAAAGATAAGAGTTGGAATGTACTTTCGCTTTCAACTGCTCTTCCAGATTTCCTTCTTCCCCTCCACCCCTTTTTTTACGGCAACTACTAAGACAGGGATAGGAACATTTTAATGAGTTGATAGTGGACTTCAACTCCCAGAATTCCTAACCAGGATGCTTAAAGTTGCCACAGTTGGGGGGGGGGAAAGAACTCTGAGTGGCCTTTGACTTAAATCCATTCTTCTGCGTCCTGCCTACTGATCAAGAGAAAATAGATCAGCCTTCTGCATGATACCTTCTGTATAATGCCTGGGCCAAGAGTAAGAATAACAAGAGTTGGGTGGGATCCTGGAGGTCTTCTAGTAGAGCCCCATCCTCAAGCAGGAAACCCTCTATCATTTCAGAATTGGTGGTCCCGTTTCTTTTTGAACACCTCCAGGGATGGAGCCACCCACAACTTCTGGAGGCAAGTCATTCCATTGATTGATGGTTCTCACAAGTCAGGAGATTCCTTAGTTGTTCTTTTTCCATTAATGTATTGTTGGCTAAGTTGAAGGGAAGGAAAGGAAGGAAGGAAGGAAGGAAAGGAAGGAAAGGAAGGAAGGAAGGAAGGAAGGAAGGAAGGAAGGAAGGAAGGAAGGAAGGAAGGAGTCGTATACATTGTTGAAATGAATTGTTTTGCTTGTAGAGTAGAGTAGAGTAGATCATGGAATGGAATGGAATAGAGTAGAGTAGAAAATGAATAGAATAGAATAGAATAGAATAGAATAGAATAGAATAGAATAGAATAGAATAGAATAGAATAATGGAATGAAGGAATAGAATAGAATGGAATGGAATGGAATGAAACGGAATGGAATAGAAGATGGAATAGAATAGAAGATGGAGTAGAGTAGA